CACTCGCCTATTGAACCAGGGCCTTGCTTTAATGACCTAACCTAGCCTTAATTGCATTCTTCAAGGCCTGGTTTCCAAATCCAGCCACAGTGGAGGTCAGCGCTTCAACAGAGATTGCGGGGGGGGGTGCGTTCTTTCAGCGCCCCCGCCCAGTTACAGTGTGGATTCTCATGATGCTCTGGGGTGAGGCCGGGTAGGGGCATGGAGAGACACTCAGTGTCTGGGTGTTTCTGAGGTGCAGACCCCTTTTGATGAGTCAGTGCCTCATGACATCCCCATATCACAGATAAGGGACCTGCGAGTTTGGACGGTAAAGATATTTGCCAGAGATAACACAGCTATTCAGCAGTAGAGCCATGCTTTGAGTGTGGGGTCTGATGCCTGGAATAGAACCCTTAACCCCCACCCGGTCCTGCAGCACTGCTGCCCTAAACCCACAGCAGAATGCTTGGGGCTGGGGAGCTTGCATTGACAGCCAAGGACTCTCAGCCAGGCTTTTCCATTCAGGACGTCTGTGGTGGAGTCCCTTGGATATATGCATTTTCCCCTACCTTATTTATTTTTACCTGTGTATCATTTAAATTGACAATTATAAATTGTATACATTTACGATGTGTACCATGATGTTGTGAAATGTGTATCCACTGCCGAATGGCTAAATAGAGTGAAATTACATCGGCATCACCACGCAGACCTAGGATCATAGTGAGAAGAATTGAAATCTGTTCTCTTAAGGATTGTCAAGGATATAGCACAGTGCTATGAGCTGTAGTCACCATGTTGCTCAATAGAGCGCTGGAACTCAGTTCTTCTGTCTTACAGAAATTTTGTGATTTGTGCCTGGATTATTCCCCCTAGTATAATATCTCCCAGGTTGTCCTGAGTGACAGAATTTCTTTATTTCTAAAGGCTGAATAGTATTCTCCAATGCATATAGACACCCTTTCTTTCTTTCTTTCTTTCTTTTTTTTGGTACCGGGGATCAAGTACTCAGGTCCTTGTGCTTGCGAGGCAGGCGGTGGAACCACTGAGCTAAATCTCTGGCCACCCTTTCTTTATCTATCCATCCTGTTATAGTTAGGTCATTTCCTGGCTTACCTGTGTGAATGGTGCTAAAATAAACATGGCAGAGCAACTGTCTCTTGGACAGACCGATTTTATTTCATGCATATGTCTACCCAGAAGTGGGACTGCTGGATCATATGTCTGCTCTATTTTTAGTGGGTTTGAGGAAGCCTATACGCTTTCCATGATGATTATGAGAATATACCTTTGTAAGAGGTTGTAAGCCAATGTTGTTGGACCGGGATGAGAATATACCTTTTTGTTTTTGGTACCAGGGTTCAAACTCTGGCCCTTGCACTTCTGAAGCAAGCATTGGAACCACTGAGCTAAATACCCGGCCTGGAGAATATAACTTTTTAAGAGGTTCTAAGCTGCTTTTGTAGGACTGGGAACTTAACTTTAAGAATAGAAGTTCTGCTGTCTTTTTGATTATTGTTGCTTTAAATTTTATTTTAGCTTATTTTGTATAAATATCCTTCTCCACCCTCCTCAGTACAAGGGAGAGAGTGAAACGGGGTGTAGATTATGTAGCCTGCTCGGCCACCTTCATTAAATAAAGTCTCCTATAGGATTGCACAGCTTCTGGTATTAGGAGCCACTGTTCACTAGATGCGTGAGCTCCATCCTTATGTGATGCATGATGAGTTATGTAGTGGATCGTCTCAATTTTCATTTAAAAAATAGAGTATGCCAACTATGTTTGGTGGTTGGGAGTTTAGAAACAGCTGTGACAGATGTCTAGTGAAGTTCTGCCACTACAGATGTTTCCAGTCCTTGCTTACTGTTTCAATCCCAATGTGCTGATAGGAAAAGTCTGTTACTTTAAAGTGAAATATTTGCTGTGTAAATCTTGGCCTTTGGATGTTGTCCCCTGTTGATCCGCCTTCTATTCCTGTGGTCCTAAAATGTGCTGTTTGTAAGTCACCATGGTGATGGCCTCCCGCCTGAATTAGCCCTGCTGTAAGGACATGTCAGCACAGTAAACCTAACTACTCAATGAGAAAAAAAGCATTTCTATAGCTTCCTCTTATCCAAAGTGGAGCTGGGGTCCTTCGCATACCCCTGCTCCATCCTGCTGCTGTCTCCTCTCTGTTTCTCATATGCCTGGGCCAGAACTTCAAAATGTCCTTTAGCTTCCATCTTCCCCTCACCTCCACAGCTTTTTGGCTCCTGCGAGACTCTGTCCCCCAGCCCTCATTTCCTCCAGCCACCATCTTTGTGTCTTTCTGCCTGCAGTGCCACCTAAAGTGCTCTCTCTGCTTGCATCCTGCACTCTTGACTGCCTGTTCTGTTAAAACAGAAGTCAGGTTGTGCCTGTCCTCACTTTAGAGCCCCTGAGTGACAACAAGTGGGGACAAAGGTGTGGTAACTTTGGAACTTTTGCACACCGCTAGGGGGGATGTAAAGGAGGACAGCGGCAGTGGATAACTGTCTCCTTCCAGAATTAGACCTAAAAGGAATACTGGGTTCACCAGTTCCACTTTCAGGCACACACACCAAAGAATTGAAAGAAGGGAATTGCGCTTAAACATGTATGCCCTTGCTCTTGGCCGCATAGTTCATGATGGCTAAAAGGTGGATCCAACTCAAGTGTCTGCTAATAGATGACACTTTCAGGTAGATTCACAGAGTAGGTTATATCCATATAGTAGAATATCATGGAGCCATGAAAATAAATGAGATTGTGTCACATGCTACAACACAGATGGACCTTCAAGACAATATATATATATATATATATATA